GACCGCCGTCGCCTTAGGTTATTTTTTTTCAGTTTTTATCTTTTCTTGTTTTCTTTTTTTTTCTTTTTGTCTGTCTCACAGTGGCTTCTTTTTTTCTTTTTTTCTTGTTTTCTTCTCTTTTTTATAGTTTTCTTTTTTTCTTCTTGTTTTCTTTTTTTCCAGTGGCTTCTTTTTTTTACTGTCTCACAGCCGCCTCCACAGTGCCTTTTTTTCAGGTTTCTTCTTTTTCAGTTTTTTCTCTGTTTTCCTTTTTTTGGCTGTTTACATTATTGTTGCTATTTGCTAATTGTTACATACTTCTCTAATTAGCATGCTAACTAATAAATTATGAACATGTAAATATTTAATTGTTAATCACTTAATTGTTAATAACTTAATTATGAACATGTAAATTATGAACATGGCTAGACACTCTATTATTTTGCTACTTGCTTATTTTGTTTCGTAGACTTTTGCTCATGTTGGATATTATCTTGCATTGTGATTTGTGAAAACTTATGAATTTCTCTATGTTATGCATGCTAATTAAGACTCTTTTGTGATTTAGTAGGTGAAATTATATTTCTTAGACTTTTTATGTGATAATTTATAAACATGTTGCCTATATGCTTCTTTGTCTTATGTTGGAAAATATTAGTTTGAGTTATGCGCCTCAATTCAATGAGGCGCGCGCCTCGTTGTGCGCCTTGCACATGGTGCGCGTAAGGGACCTTCGCCCCGCCTTTTGCCTTGCGCCTCGATAACACTGGGTTAGGTTTTACATGTTGGGTTAGGTTTTACATGTACCAGGCATATTTCTGGGCTACATTATGAACTAAATTCGTCGTATCATACTTAAGTGACCCGAGAGCTTGAGTCTTTATAATCTGGCAGCTGGCCTTGGTTAAATTTATGTCTTTTTTTGTGAGGTAAATGTTTAGATTTGATGCATTCCATTATGTATCAGGAGTTACTAAAATAGAAATAAGTGGTGTCGAACTTGAAAGGCGGAATAATAGGATAGAAGTGGAGTGGAGAAGCAATAGAGTGTAGAAGTATGCATATTGTGGGATCGTGATTTTCTGCTCCGTTTATTATTAGACAAGGATATAGCATATGCTTCTCAATGCATACAAGTACAAATATATTACTCTGACACCCTTCATAGTTTATGCCTGTATTTGTAATACACCTGTCTAGAACTTTGTAAATTGTAATATTAGTTTCATTTAAAAACTTTGATATGGAAAACACATGCACCTAATATAGTAATAGCTGAATGATATTTCTGAACAAAAAAATGCATTGAAGTAGTGATACCTGAATTTTTTTTTCACTTAGAGGATATATCTTAGCTCTCATTAACATTACCAAGCAAATTTTTATACTTGTTTGTTTACAAACTCTATTTTAACTTCATCAACCAATTATAATGAATTTTTATATTTTTCCTTCTTATGTGGTAGTGTGTATCCAATGTTGAAAAAATGCACTATATGCTACTTCGATTACATAGCATAACAGTCCATCCATGCTACTTAGCACCTTAAGATACGCGCTCACACTATTTCAAAATAGTTTGCACTATGTTGCATGTCATTGTTGCATAGTGTGTTGGTCTGTTAAATAACCCGTCTTCCTCTGCTCAACTCTTAATTCTTCAAATTCTCTTTCATGGCCGTGATCCCTAGTTCATTTCCCCAGTGACAACTTCCTTTCCACTTTCTGTTGATGACAACATTGACAACTGCCATTTTCCTTCTTTTTCCCTGACGATAACATTGTGGGTGGCACTGTCCCACACACTGGTTGTGTGACGGCATATTGATGGGTTTTAGTAGTAAGTCTAGGGAGCCAAGTGTGACAATGGTTAACTAAACAACTCCACAGTTAAGTGTGCTTGGGCGATAGTAGTACCAGCCTACCAAGATGGGTGACCTCCTGGGATGTTATAGCGTTGCACTCAGTGGGTCCTAGGGCCATCAGTGATGCTGCCAAGGAAGCCAGTTCCTCTTCCTCTTTTCGCCCTCTGTTGAGCTCATTTTCCACTACAGACTACCCAACCTGTTAAGTAATTTAGTTTGCTTTTATTAAAGTTAAGATTTTTGGTGAAAACTTTTTAGACTCTTTCACATTTTGGTTTCATGTTTCTATTAATTAAACTTATTGTGTGTATATTTTCAGTTGTCCTGTTGTGAGAAAAACTGGTCATATGTATTCATCTGATTTTTGGATCTCTGTGTTCAGTTAATTACTACATTGCATTTTAACATTAAATTTATATCCTAAGTGCATATGCTTTTATTTTTCATATATTCAATTGATTTGTTTCATTAGGTTGCTCAAGCCACATCCAAGCAGATGTCAAAGCGTGATCCTTTGAGGCCTTACATGGACGTTATTGATGATATGGTGCTTCAAATGGTACTGCCCATTCCGCAAATTCATTGGGCTGCTTATAAAAGTAACTGCTATGTAGAAACTTTTAATGTTCTTATTTTATATGTTAACTTTAAAACTTTTTTTTTCCTTCTTAGTTTCGGGAAGATCCATCTTTTAAACCATCAGGTGGGAGACTGGGAGAAAATGATATGGATTATGATACAGATGACAAATCTATGGCTGAGCTTAGACGGCAGCTCAGGAGAGCTCGGGAGGAGTATTATCGTTACAAAAGGTAAGTGGATGACAGGCTATGCCTATGCTTATTTTAGTGCTATGTAATTCCATCCATCATTGTCATCATCTTAGTGATTTCCCATCAAGATTGGTCAGATAAGACTATAAGAGCACGGGATCCAGGAATGTCAACTGTGTGTAGCTGTCTACCTGAATCTAACCCAAGAAGTTGGTGCCAATGGAAGTATGGCTAATACAGGGCTTCAACCCTAAAAACCCGTAGGCCGGGTTGAAGCTTATCAGGTGGAGGTAATCTGCCAAATAAGTTACAAGCTAGGAGCATTTCTCCAAACTTTTCTAGACTAAGATTCTGAAAGAGGGGAAGATGTTGTTTTTGTTGTATGGTATTGCATTCAGACCTATAACAACATCAGCATTAGGAGCCAAATACTTTGAAGATTTTCCGTGAAGGCTATTTGCATTTAATACATTTGTATAGCAGATATAGATGCATTACGTCCTGCAAATATACATGCATGTGCGGTGTACTTTTGCATGTATATGTATTATGTAATGTGTATGAATATGACTGTGTGTGTACTACTTTAGCATATGTATCATGTGTTATTATCCATGTCTTACTCCTATGTCTTAGCTATCTGTGTGTATATATGCCTCAAGATTCATGTATATGGTTTCACATGTATGTATGCACGTATCAACAGAATGTGTTCACGTTCATGAATATGCAGGCTACAGTATAGATCTAAAATATATCTTTAAAGTTTGACTATGTGGTGTATTAAAATATTTTGCAGTGAATATATGACTTATGTCCTGGAGGCCCTTCAGCTGGAAGATACTGTGAAGAACTATGAGCGACGTGATTCAACTGGATGGTTAGTTCCATCTTTTCCATTCTTTTATCGCCTAATTATGTTTGTCTTCTTAAATACCTTGGAGATATCTCTGGAGATCCTTAGCAAATAGTCGATTGATGATAGAAAACTTCTTTAATTCATGTCTCATCGCTTCACTCAGTATGTCTTTCCTCATTTTACGATAGCAAGATTATCAGGGTTTGTCATCAATAAATGGAAAGGGGTACCAGATTTAAAAAAATAAAGAATTAGTAATACAGAATTATAACTCTCAGGTCATTAAATGAGATATTATGATATTAGCAGAGCAAAAGTTATTTCATGCTGGACTTTTGTCAAATAGATTATTTATGGTCTAGAAGAGGGCGTGGAAGTTTACTAGAGTACCTAGATTTAAATGCAGAATGTGGGACTTTTTTTTGGGCAAATGAAAATTTCATTAACCAGTGAACAATAAGCACAGTACAAAATCTCAGACATACCTGAGAATCACAAGATTACAAAAAAGAAACACAAAACTAAAGCATCAGAGTTATTTGTAAATACAATGAAAGGGAATGCGAGCCTTAAAAACTCTTGTTAGACCCTCTCTTTTGATCTCTGCTATCAACCTGCTACCATCTGAAATATGCTGGGCAAAAAGTCTCCTACTAGCACCAAACGTGGTAGAGACATGCAGCAACACTAGCCTTTAGAATCTTCAAAAGAACAGCTTTACTCCCGCCATTTAAAACTGACCAATGCAAAATGTCTGACCACACTAAAGAAAAAGAAAGCTTGCATATTCTAGGCCATGAGAGCATACCAGATAGGAGCAGAAACTCATTGAAAGAATAAGTGATCAAGGGACTCTACCTGTTTCAGACATAAGTAGCACTAATTAGTGTTAATAATCTGAATGTGGAACTTCAATTGCTTTCTATTGTATCTAAACTTCAATTTACTTTTGTTGCCAATACAAAACATTTAGTAAAAACTGGATGTGTCACAGGAACTAAAAGAAGAAACAGAGATTAGTGCAACTGGAATTGATATTTTAATAAGATATCAATGATACTGGAGTAGTTTATAACTGGAGGGGCAAGATTTGATGCTTTGTTCAGCACAATGGTGTCAGCTAAAATGCTGAATTTAATTGTTATTTTGAACATAGTGAACATGAGAACTACCCTTGACACAAACATATTGAACATGTATTCACTACTTTCATCAGATCATGAGTACATGAAATAGTGTTCTGGATTTTGTAATTTTGGTGAAGCAAGATGTTCAAAGTTTTCATGGAAGGGCAGAAGAATTGTGGTTAAGTATAAACATTTCAACTGTTACTGTGAAGTTGAACCAAACTCAGGAACTGGTAAAATAGAATT